ATAGGTCTCAAAGTTGTATGATTTGTCTTCTGAATTATATACATCTCAACCTGTAGAGGACGTACGCCAGTATAAGCCTGATTTGAACTTTTAAACTGCAGACAAACTGTCCATTTATTCTGTTACTGCTGTGTAACTAAGGTGTAAGTTAGGCCTCAGTTTAATCCTACATTGAATGTCCTCACACCTTAATCAGGAGTGGATACTGAACATCCATAAATGGATGAATTACCTTTTAAACTTTTTAACTTCTTAACTTATAAAAAAACTTCAGCCTTATTACTCAGTTAGTGATCTCAAGGCTTACTGTTATGAGCTGTTCACTGAATTATGAGGTATTCAGTAACTACTACAAATTATTCAGTGTCTACTTTAAATTATTCCATATCAACAATAAGTTATTCCATATTTGCGATTAATTATCCAGTATCTACTATAAATTATCCCGTAACTAGTCAGTATCTACTGAGAATTATTCAGTATCTCTTATGAATTATTCAATATCTACTATGAAATATTGAGTATCTTCTATGAATTATTTAGTATATTCTATGAATTATTCATTATCTTCTATGAATGATTCGGTATCTACTAGGAATTATTCAGTATCTACTATGAAATATTTAGTATATTCTATGAAGTATTCAGTATAGACTAGGAATTATTCAGTATCTACTATGAAATATTTTGTATATTCTGTGAATTATTCAGTATCTGCTATGAATTATTCAGTATCTACTATAAAAATTCAGTATCTTCTATGAATTATTCAGTGTCTACTATGAAATATTCAGCAACTACTATGAATTCATAGTAGTTACTGAATACTTCATAGTAGATACTGTATTCAGTATTCAGTACCTACTATGAATTATACAGTGTCTACTATACATTATTCAGCATCTACTATGAAATATTGAGTATCGTCTATGAATTATTCAGTATCTTGTATGAGTTTTTTAGTATCTTCTCCAAAGTATTTAGTATCCACTATGAATTATCTAGTGTCTACTATGAAATAGTCAGTATCTACTATGAAATATTCAGGATCTACTAGCAATTATTCAGTGAATTCTATGAATTATTCATTATCTACTATGAATTCATACTGAATATTTCATAGTAGATACTGTACTGAGTATTCAGTATCTATTATTACTTATTCAGTAACTACTGAGAATTGTTCACTATCTACTAGGTGTTATTTAACATGTACAGTAAATGATTCAGCGTCTACTATGAATGATTCTGTATGTCCTATGAAACTAACATGAAGTTCTGTAGTTATGAGAATGAGGAACAGAAGTGTTGACCCACATGCGACTTTAAAAACATGATGTATTGTGATGTATGGTCAAGCATGCTCAGTATATGATTAGATTGAAGTGTTTATAAATAGAGAACGCTTGATTATGTCCAGATAGGGCGATCGTGGAGGAGTTTCTGGGACAGACTGACTTTGTTGCCGGAATGAAATGCTCTGTTAATAATGATAGTAGTGATTGCTTTCTCTGAAAAGCACTTTTGGTCAAAGACAAAGGCCTGAACTCAGAGTGCATAGCTGGATCTGTGTTGCGTTTGAATGTGTGCATGTTTTTTGTTTAATACTGTACTGGTATGTTCTTCTCATCGAGCTCCAGATTCCTTAAATGTTTGAGGAATGTGGGCTGATAAGACGTCGGACCCTATAAGACAATGTCATTATGTTTTTTTTTCTCTGTCTCTTTTTTTAACAGTTAGTGGCCTGTGAACTTCTGACCGTACTATTTCTGCAAGGTGCACTTCTGCTCATCGAGTTAAATATGGGACAGTGTCAGCCTACAGTGCGTCACTGTTTATGCAAAAATCGCATTGCCTAATCTCTGGAGTATCAGGCGCTTCAGGTTTAAAATACGACTTGGGTTTGGTTTTTGGGCCTCCGATACACTGCGTCCAGGCCAGAATCAGCGTTCCAATCAGCGCTGGTGTTTATCAAAACATATCATGAGGAAGTTCTATAGTTTCATTTCTTCGCTCTTGTGTGAAAGAGCCTTTGTTTATTCTGATGTTCCTGTGCGCACCAGTAGGAGGGGTCATTTTGTTCCCCCCCCAAGTTTTGTTTATGGCAGTTTCTTGTCGTGTTCCAGGGAAAGTGCAGCAGTTTATTTTCTGGGAAATTTATGAATACAGTATGGATATGACTTGAAAGAAGTGTTTCCAACATGATCAAGCTGCTAGGACTTTTGAGAAAAGCCTGCAACTACAGAAAAGTAACCTGAAACGCGAGTGGTAAGCCCAAAAGTGTAAAAGTGGCAAACAGCCACGTTTGGGGTGTTTCACTCACTCGCTCCCTCTGTTTCGCAAAGCAGGCGACTAGCGGGGCATTATTTTACAAAGTTAAAGAAACTAGCGCATGTCGTACCAAGGACAAAGACAGATGGAAACCATGGTAACGGTGACCAGCCGGCGACTAGCCATTGTTCAAACATAACTTGGACAACTTTTTTGCACTGCATCGAAACAGAATGCGGTAGAGACACTTTCAACCCACAGAATAACAATGCGGCAGTTTGGAGACTACTGTAATGCACTGCCCAGTGCTGTCCTTCAGCAGCTACTCGTTGTAGTTCGGGTCAAATGAAACTACACCGCCCACCAAAAGTTTGGGGACACCTTGCCTTTTTTTCCTGAAATTTGCATTTTCTTGATTGCACTCATTTTTCAGTATTTCTGCACGAGCAAATGGTTCAGATTTAAACAGAGTCATTCATAGCAGTTTGGTATAAAATGGGTCAGATTTCTTTACAGCGGTGGCGATAGGAACCAGGGGTCGCCATGACTACAACACAAATATAGGCATTTTATTTACTATCCAAAACCACCCGTGAACCTACACGTGTCTTATATGGAATGTTGATGATGTTAAAATAGTGGAGAATCTGAAAAAGTGTGTTTTCTTTTGCGACTGTTTGGCCTTACAATGCCCCGCATGTACTCCTCCACCATAAATGGATTTAAAAAAACATTGTAGGCCACAGGCTTATCTCAAAACTATTGTCTCAGGCATCAGGCAACCGGTTCATCTAATAACTTTACTGTAAGGTCGGTGTTAAACTCTTTAGATGTCTGGTTCCTATCACCACCACTGTCAACAATTCTGGCTCGATAAGTTTCTCTAGAATGGAGCATTTCACACCACACTGAATGACTCTGTTTACATCTCAACCAATGAGTTCTACAGAAATTTTGAAAAAGTGGTGCAGTTCTCCCTTTAATGCTCCTAAAAGCTCCCTCAGAGACAGTTATTACAATGAAATGGTTATGAATACATCACTTGATGTCTGATATTGTTTTATGATCGTTTTGAGTAGGTTTTTGGATCTTTTTTTAAAATCCAAAGGCAAAATAGTCCCCAATGAAAACTTATTTTTTCACATGTACCACTATTTTACCATCTTCACTGGTCATTTCGGCCAGGAGAAATGTTGATAAATCGATGGAATTCCCCATTAATTGTGAAAAAACTCTACTTTGGTTAGCACACAGCAGATATGTGCCAATGCTTTGGGTATATTTAGCATCAGCGCTCACTCAGCTTCATGTTCATCAAAGTGCTTTCACTGGTATGAAGAGCAGGTTTTAAATACTGATCTGGCAGTTTTCTTTTCCAAAACATTATTAAAAGCACATTTCTAAAAACAGATCCTAAAATCTGAGCCACGTTCGAAGCCATTGAAAGATCCTTCATATACACACAGCCATGGCCGCCTCACAACAACTGAATTCTGCATTAATGCACTAACTCACTAAAAAACACTGTGCTGCGACTGGACCCTTATTTTTCTGACATGGACCACAGAGTGAACTGACAGCTTAATTAAGAACCCGGTTCTGCTAAAACTGAGCAGCTGAAAACGTATTTTCTTAACAACTGGGCTGAAATATAGCAGGCTAAACAGGCTAAAAGATAGCTAACAGGCTAAACTGCTCCTCCATTAGTATTCACTGTCAGGCTTTAAATTGAAGTATTTACTGAATCTGTATCTAAAGTGTAAAGTGTACGAGTATAAAAAGTATGTTTTATGAATGTCATACATGCTTCAAATGTGTCTTTTTGGTTAAATCTGCTATTTAAGTAGTACTAAAGCCAGTGTGGGAAAATGAATGTGTGGCACTATTAGCATGATGCTAACACAATCAGGAAATCGCATATAGGCACTTGAGAAAATCAGCATTAGCGCTGTGGTAGTGATTCAGTGAACAAAATCTGCTTATAAGGAGAAGAACTCTGCATTAAACACTGCTGTACTACACTGTCTTCATTATTATATGACAAAAGATTAAAAAATTCATAAAGTGACTGCTGTATACAGTGAAGGACGACTGAAAGTTCTTGTCCTTCTTTACCAGCCCATAGTTGTATGGCAACAATAACCTAGTCTAAACATAACTGCATTTCTTGGTGGAAGAATTGTTTATTATTGAGTATAACAATTCGATTTATGGTAAATATGTGTCCATTTTATTAGATTTTATGCTGTGAGTGTTTTATAAAAGCAGTAAGCCACGTGAGGCTGTGAGTTATAGTGAGTTTAACCATGGTCTCTACTTCATGTCGTGCTTAAAAACACAACTTTTGTGGCTTATTGCTTTATTAGAAACTCTTTTAGTCCAAAGGTGTTTTAAACAGCTGAAAGGTTTGAGTGCTGACGAGTACAGTCATCATAACAAGGGGATCAATGAGTGGCCTTTGGCTTTATTCCCAAACTAGCACTGTCACTATTACTGTCACTAATATTTACTTGTGGTGCTGTTTTCCTCGAAATAGACCCGATTAAGCTTTAACCTATTAGATAATTGCAAAATGATAAAGAAAACGTGATCATTTATACTGAAAAAAAAGAAAAGCTAACTCGTGTAGTGTAAGTGTTAATGCTAAACATAGCAGTGGTTTCATTGCAGTGTAACAAATTTAACTGTATATAAAATATGTGATGATTAACTGAATGTGATGTTTTTAGCGATCGGTTTGGATTGGCTGAAGACGACGACGCTGTCGGAGGGACGTCAGATGTGATCTGTGCAGCCAAGGCAAGGTGGAGGAACAATTTCTCCATCCCAAACCCAAAGGTAAGCTCAGGCTGATCTTAAACTCGCTGGGTTAAACCGGTATGTCAGTATAGGGGGTTGCACAACAATTTTTGTTTTTAGCTCAAGTTAATTGAGATGCAAGCTGCTGAATGCTTCAGATTGTTTAAAAAAAAAGGTGAATTCTAATTTCCTGCATAATTTAGTTGTTGAGATGTAAACAGAGTCATTTGGAGTGGTTTGGTGTGAAATGGTTCAGATTTGTTTACAGTGGTGGTGATAGGAACCAGGGGTCTCCATGACTACAACACAAATATAGACATTTTATTTACTATCCAAAACCACCAGTGAACCTACATGCGTCTTTTGAGTTTTATATGGAATGTTGATGATTGGAAAATAGTGGAAAATCTGAAATGTTAAGTTTTCCTTAGGGACCATTTTGCTTACATGTACCTTGAATGGATTTAAAAACATAGACATTTTAGGTCCAAATCTTCTCAAAACTATCACAAAACAATGTCTTAGTCATCAGGCTGTGTATTCATAACCATTTCATGTAATGACTTTCTGTACGGGGACTTTTAGAGGTGGCCGTCTGGTTCCTATCACCACCAGTTGTAGACAATTCTGACAGAGTTTCTCGAAACATTTTGAATGACTTTACATCTTAACCACTTTATTATGCAGACATTTTGAACAGTTAGTGGAATTCCCCTTTTAATGAATAGTACATTAATAGTAAATTGGTGCAATTTGGCTAGAAACCTGAACTAAACAGTCCATTCTAAACAAGCTTTATCTATTAACCTTATTAATGCTAACTTACACATAATCTGATAGCATGATATAGTTGGGAAATAACAGATATCAGCATTATCTCTACATTTTCTCAGTTACAGTGGAAAGGGTCAGGATTTGAGCCAAGGCATCTGATCCCGGATCAGTCTGAAAGGCCACTTTGTGCTCTAGTCTGAGTATACGTTACCTGTTGTTGCAAGACGTCTGACTTTTTGTGTGTCAAACAGTTGCGCAACTGTTGCTGTCAGATGAGCCTTTGTTTTGCTTTTAGCCAGAATCTTCCGTGTGTTTCAGCTGTTGCATATTTATGATCACATGTGAATCATCTATTATTTTTCTAATTGAGCTTACGGTATGTTCTGCATATGTACTGTAAGTGCGTAAATGTTCGTGTGAATCATATATTGTGGAAATGCGTGCCGTGCCCTGCTGGGCGATTTCCTCATTTCGAAGCTGGTTTTGAAAAATGGTGATGCGCCAAATGTTTCGAGTTAGCTGAATGTGTGACTCTGTCAGATTTGCTGTATTTTGCCACTTCAGGTTGTCCAGAGTGCTTTGCGTTTGAGAGGAATCGGTTTCCTACGGAATGGCACTGTTCATTCCCACACAATTCCTTGTTTTTTGACCATGGTTGTGTTTCTGTGAACTGGGCAGCAGCGTATGGAGTGTGTTTCTTCTCGCTGGCTATGGGAATGCAGGGAGGGAAATACTGTGAGTGATATGGCAGCAGCTCTACATGAGAAGGCTTAATATAGGCACTGACTATAGCGCTCTTCTGGCTGCTAGATAAGGCTACACCCCCTTTGTCTGTTACCCACCAGGCCTTTCTGAAACGTGCTGTCCGGCAACAGCTGAGACTTTGACTAATAGAAGCACTTTATTCCACTGTCCACCAGGACTGCCTTTAAAGGTTTGGGGACACCTTGCTTGCTTGCTTTTCACTATTTATTTTTCAATTAAAGGGCCCATATCCTACACTTTTCTGTGGTTTTATGTACCAAAAATGCATTTTTACATGACCATTTTCCAACCTCTCTTCTTCCTGGATGTTTTAGTTATTGTATCTTTAAAACTGATGTACAGTTGTATGCAAATGTCTAAACGTCCCCAGTTAAACTGTCCCTTTTTTTTATGTTTTCTTGATTTTTCTACAGAAGACTCACTTAAATATGGCATAACAAGCCAGAAAAATAAAACATAAAATGTAATATATATAAAATGTGCTATAACGTTTCACTGGCCACATTTTATGTTTTATTTCCCCCCCAATATGCTAAATGCAGAAAATAAACAGCAGTGTGTTCTCTGTAGAGGACATGTTAAATATTTTGCACTTAATTTGTGCAGGGGTGCCCAAACTTTTGCATAGGACTGTATATAAATGAGCTCTATTCTGACTGCCCTGTTTTGTACCTTATTTATAAAAACAAGTCTGAGCTGAAACACCCCTTATAACTTCGGTGTGAGTGGGCGGGGCTAAACAGCTGTAGGCTGAATGGGAGGGTATATGCAGATTGTTTTCGTGACATCACAAAAAGGGTGAATTCAAAGGGTGAAACTAAGTTGCAGCTTATTTTCCATATGTGGACTGTGTGGAGTGGTTCACTTTGAAACCATAACAATGTTTACATTCTGCCTCAAACTGAAATTTCAAAAAAAGCTATTTTACTTTTCCATGATATGAGCCCTTTAAGAAAATGTGCTAATCCTTTGGGTATATTTAGCTTCTCAGCTTCATCAAAGTGTCTTTCTTGGTATAAAGAGCCGCTTTTAAATAATGATTTGACAGTTTTCTCTTCCAGACGATTGTTAAAAGCACATTTTGAAACTCCTTTGGTCCAAACACCTGAAAGGTTTGACATCACAATAAGGGGATAAAATGATTGACCTTTGAACTTATTCCCCAAGCTAGCACTCTCAAAATTAAGGTAAAAGCGTTGTTTTGTTTCCTTAAGATAAATGTGCTTTGTCTTTAAAGGGGAATTTATTGATTTTTCAAAAAATCTGCATGATTCAGTGGTTGAGATGTAAAGTCATTCAGAGTGGTTTGGTGTGACATTGTTCATTGTGGAGATTTGTTTACAGTGGTGATGATGGGAGCCAGGTGTCACAACGTTGACAACACAAAAGCCATTTTATTTACTAGTTAGAATCACCACATACGTTTTACATGTTAACAATGGACAAAACAAGGTTTATTGGCCCCGCATGTACCAGAAACCTTCTAAAAACTACAATGAGACATTTTGCCTATTAACTTTGTTTTATTGGCCATGTTTGTACCATAAACATTCTCAAAGCTACAATGACCAGTTTGCCTATAGTTTTATTGGCCAAGTATGTACCAAAACCCTTCTCAAAACTACAATGAGGCATTTTGCTTATTAGCTTTGTTTTTTTGGCCGTGCATCTACCAAAAACCCCAAAACTACAACCATATATCTAGCTTACTGACTTGAGTGAGAGAGCTTTTAAAGGTGGACATCTGGTTCCTATCACCACCACTGTGAACAATTCTGACTTGGCAAGCTTCTCTAGAACCGAGCATTTTACACCAAACCCCTCTGAAAGACTTTGTCTGCATCTTAACCCTGTATATATGCACAAAATTTGAAAAGTCACAGGAGTTCTCCTTTAATATGCGAAGCTAATTTGTGCTGGAGAACGTTTAGAAAACCCAGGTGTCCCCAAACTTTTGACGCTTTGGTTGAGTTTGACCCCTCGCACAACCCTCCCGTGTGTGTTTGTTAATGTCATGGCGTGCGTCAGGACTTGGCTGCAGCTCCAGGGGAGCGTATATTGTTCACCTCAGATGACTCGTATAGGGGCAGAGACATGTGCTGTTGCTATCTGCCTCACTCGCTCGCTCGCTCGCTCACTCACTCACACCCATACCAGGAAACCAGTTGCGCGCTTAGATCTCGTCTGCCGCGGTGGGAACTTTTACCTTAGAGAGAAATCGTATGGGCATAGTGGGGATTTTCCATACCCGAGGTGTGCCAGCCAGTCAGCTGCCTGCTTTTTGCATATGTAATTATGTTTAAAAGTTGCTGGAGTTTTTGCCTGGTAAATCTTTTCTCGTGCCTGAATGGGGCCTTTCTGCTCGCACGTAAGCAAAGTATAAATATATATATATACATCTATATATATATACATCTATATATATATATATATATATATATATATATATATATATATATATATATATATACATAGTGTTGAATATAAACAGGTTGGTTAGTGCTACGCTTGGCCTAAACACTGGGGCTTATTTTCATTGAAGCAGACAGATGGCACAGACAAGCTGCCAGCAGTATTTTTGTATGTACACATAGATAAAACCTGTCAGGCAGTTAATGGTTAATAACCAAATTTCTTTGCCCAAACATATTTTGTTTAGGCAAAAGACAGGGCACGTTAAAGGGAAAAAGAAAAACAAAAAGGGAAAAAAAACAAATTATAGAAGGCTCGCAAAGTTAGTTTTCTCAGGCGTGTCCCCTTTAAATATATACACGAAGCACACAGGCATTTCACTGATGTGAAAAATGTATCTTGGATTCTAATAGGGAAGTTGTATGTTTGCCAAGGTGCATGCGTGTCCTCAGCTAACCCCGGCACCCATATGGTGTTCAGCAAGTCCATGTGAGATCACTGCCTCCTTTTCTAAAAGGAAAAATATCTGGAAATGGTTTGTTTAAAGAAAAGAAAAAAAAAAAGGGAAAGAAAAAAAAAAAGACAGAGGTAGCCGGAGAATTCTCTCGCAGTGCTTCTTATTTGTTTACAACCAAGGCTGTGCGAAACGGGCCTGGGGTCGCTCCGAGGAGGGAAGTGCGCGCGCACAAAAGAGATAGAATGTCCTCCATTTTGGAGAAGGGACGGGGCAGACCGAAACGTGTTCAGATCTCTGAAGAATTTACAAGCGCACAATGAGGGAATCTTAGAAGAACTCGCACAAACAACCGGCTGCTTTGAAAACGTTTCTGCACGGCCGGCTGTTAACAAGGCCTTTATTGCAGTTGGCATACATGCAGTGTGCTGAAGCTCAAAAAGCTGTTTAATCTGCCTCGTCATTCGCACAACGGCGTCCAAACAGTCAGGTACAGAACGCATGTGTCCTTTCGTGCGTTTGTGGGAAGTGGCTAAGGGTAGTTTGGACCCTGCCTTTTGGCACACTTTTACCAGCCTGTTATCAAACACACTCCGCTCTGGGGCACAAGCGCATTTCATATTTCACTGCTAGG